TTACCCAGACTCCAAACAACTCCATACCCCACTCAACATATTACATTCCATTACACCCTCCCTAGATTTAACCCAGTGGGAAAAAAGAAACATGCATCATATAGCAGACCTTTACAAAAATCACATCCTACACCCATTTCATTATCTCCAAGTCACATTTAATCTCCCTGCCGCTGAATACTTCACCTACCTACGAATCACACACTGCATCCAAACAAACATTATACCCCATAACATAACATTCCCGGCTACGGTCTACACCTATTTCTCCAGACCGCATTACCCAAGTAAAGGCATCTCTACCTTCTACAAATATTTATCGGACCTGCAATTTACTTTAAAATCTACCTCTTTATCTAATTGGGAAAAAACCCTAGCAGAAAACATTCCAACTCCTCATGGACTACCGCATTTAAATCCACCTGCAAATCCTCTCACTGCAACTCACATTGGGAATCACCTTTAAATACTTTCATCAGTGGTACCTAACCCTACCAAACTAGCAATTTTCTATCCAAAGCATTCCCCTTCTTGCTCACGCCAATGCAGGGACATAGGCTTCACTCTTCACTCTTCACATACTATGGTCCTGCAAATATATTAAATCCTTTTGGAATAGTATATTCCAACTAATAACCGAAGTTTCCAAAATAACGATAACCCCAAATCTGGCACTTGCACTCTTACACATCGGGATTAACAATTTCCCATATACCTCCCGTACCATCATTGTCCACATACTTTTTACAGCTAAACTGAGTATAACCCGATTATGGAATACAACCACAGCTCCTTCCCTTCAATCGCTAATTTCAGACCTTATATCTATAAATACCACTTCCTTAAATACAACAAGTGACAAATTCAAAGATTCAACTAAAACAAAATCTTAAATCCCCATAATTTCAGACCTTAACTTCCAATGCGAAATGGAAAAAAGACTGGCCATCAATAACTCCACCCAACATAAGTTTAATTCCTTATGGTCTAACTGGTTACAAAACCCTAACTGCTCTGTAAAACCCTGATACCTTACAATCAATCACTCTACTTATCCACGTCAGACTGGTACTCCTTCCCTATTCTACCACAATTTCTCCCCCCCCCTCTCCACTACCCTCCCCCTATTATTCTCCCCTTGTTTATTACCCCCTTACTACTCACTACTCCTCCTCACGGTTCAGTCCACCCCTAGCATGCCTCTGATGTCTATGCCGTAACTCTATTTTCAAACCCAGCCAAAAGGTGGGGTAACATCCTAATACAGCTGTATTGTATGCATACATTTATACTGAACCAAATGTTTTCTCCCTGTTAAATTTTTGAAAAACTATCAATAAAAATTATTGAAACTAAATACTTCTCCTGTCTTCAGAAAGAACATCAACTAGATTGCAGAGACTTATTTACATACCTCTGCACATCCCACTGCATGATGTCTCTCCTAGGCTGGCCCTTCAAAATACCCTGGTCTACATGCGTCTTTCTCACCACCCTCTGAATAGTACCAAAGAGCATCTAATTTTTCTATACAATATTCAAACAAAACACTATTTTTATTAAAACGGAACACTTCAAACAATGGGAAACCGATCTAACGAACACATATACTAATAGGCTCAGGCAAACAGAATGACCTACAAAGTAACTTGCTGCTCCTTATGGGAGCTCTCTAAAAAAAAAATTACCCTTATATGGTACCTGACTCCAGATAGAATTTCATGCTTCAAAGGCCAATCCTCTAACCTTTGCTGGAGTCAGCACTGGCAAAAAGGCTACCTTTTACATATCCTGTGGGGCTATACAAACCTCAAACCTTTTTGGACCTCTATCTTCCACCTTATTTCTAACATTGACCATGGCTCTATCTTTCCCTCTTCAGGCTTAGCCCTATTAGCCCTTTCGCTGCCAGGCCCTCCACTTTTAAACACAGGTGGCCAGACCATTTTTGCAATTTTTTCCATTGCTTTTTTGTTTCCTTTACAGCTTGCAGAGTTTGTAAAAGACCCCCCAAACAATATATTTTCTGAAAGCAAATGACCAGTAGAATAAAAAGTAGATGCTACTGATATTTAGGGCCCCATGATACTTGCACAAATGTGCATCAAATCATTATTTTAGCTAAAAATGCATTACAATCATTAGCAGATACAAACAGCAAATTTTACAAAATTCCAACTAAATATAAAATCTTAACCTGTATTGAGTTAATAAATAACAAACATTTGTACATTTTAAATAGAGCCTTTTTTTGCAAAGTGGTGAAAATCGAACATATGCAAAACTGTAAATAATTACATTTCTCTAAAAATATGGAGGTATTAATTTTTCACTTATAGCTTTCAGAGTTTATAGAAGACCCCCTAAACCCTATATTTTCTGAAAGCACATGACCAGTAGAATGAAAAGATGCTACTGATTTTGAAAGCCCCACAATGTTTGCGCAAATGTTTATCAAAGAGGTATTTTTGCTAAAAATGCACTAAAATCATTAGCAGATACCAACACAGCAAATTTTACAAAATTCCTGCTAAATTCCTACTAAATATAAAAGCTTAACCTGTATTGAGTTAATAAATAGCAAATATTTGTGAATTTTACATTGTGCCTTTTTGCAAAATGGTGAAAATTGAAAGGAAGCAAACATTTCTCTAAAAATCCAGAGGTTATCATTTTTTACTTAGTAGCTTTCAGAGTTTGTAAAAGACCATCCAAACCAAATATTTTCTGAAAGCACATGACCAGCAGAATAAAAAGAAGGTGCTACTAATTTTTAAAAGGCACAACAATAGTTGTGCATATGTTTATCGAGTCTGCATTCCAGAAAAGAGGAGAATCAGAATCTGTCATGCCATTATTATATGGGATAGGTTGTAAACTTGCTTTTAGCAGTGAAACCCTGCCAAGCTTTTATGTTGGCTGTTGTTTGTCAGTACCTTTTTTACTATCTGAATTCTGTGTCAGTCATTTTTTGTTACATGTGTTCCTGCTTCTTTTTTTGTAAACTAATTATTGTAAATTGCTTAATCTATTGGGAAGGTTAACATTATTAAGAGCTATGAATACATTTCTTATGCCATATTTTTTTTAGTACCAATAAGGCTTCATGTACATGAGCCGACTCTGACCGCAGCATGGAAAAAAAACACAAATCACAGCACCGGTACCATGGTTCGCATGTTTTGCCACAGTTTTGCCTCATTTTCTGTTTTCCCATGACCAATGATTCTTTTGCGTTCAGGAGAGGGAGGTTTAACCTCATCTAAACATGGCAACTTCTAAACTCTGCTAAAAGCCTATGTGTACATGGACACATAGGCTTTTGTGGAGTTGAGTTTAGGAGCTTTGGCAAAACAATACTAAAAGCTCCTAAACTCAAGTTTAGGAGCTGCTCGTGCACATGAAGAATTACACCTCTGTTGAATTTACTGTTTAGTAATCTATTAGTAATCACTTTTATGCAGAATTGAAAGTAGAAATTGTTATGAAATGCAAAAGAATTACAGTACAATCGAAGCATGCAATTTTGCTAAGATCAGAAAACAAAATAGCAAAACAACACTAAAATAGCAGCTCTTAGCTTAATGTCTACAGTATACTTAAAATGGTTAAAAATGTAACTGAAATGTGAATTTATAGAATTTATCCAATATAACATATAAAAATACAGTTTTATAGACCTAAGCCATCTAACTGTTGTCTTAAAATATGCTAATGCTAATATTAACTGTGACCTGTCATTGCATTAACATTCACTGTGGAACTGAGCACAAATTGGTGACTTATTTTATCAGCTATTTCAGCATGGTTTTGTGTTAAAAAAAAGATTCTTATCAGAAATTATTTCATTCACTGTGAATATCATTCAGAAAAATATCTCCTTTTACCAAAACCATTTTACAGTGCGACACAAGGCTAAACAAGTCTGACTAAGCTGGATTCCTCTAAATACAGAATATGTATTTTGTTTTCTGACCTTCAAACCCATTTGCTTCTTGGTCACACGTATATACAGTAATTGTAAAAAGCCAGAGTACAGTACAATATACAGAAACAGGAATATTTACGTACATTTTCAGCTTAGAAGGGAGTTGTTTTATCATTGCATAGGATACAGCTCAGAGCATATTATCAGAAACTTAAAAATATAGGAAAGTGGATGTAAAGGGATTGAAAGGGATGCTACATAGCACACATTCAGACCAGGGGTGGACTGACCATTTGGAAACTCGGGCACTGCCCTAGGGCCCGGGGTCAGTAGGGGCCCCATGAGATGCCCCTGGTACCTTTTTCATAGGCTTTATTGAGTTTGGGCAAGGAGACAGGGGCCCCATGATCCCCTATTGCCTGGGGGCCCAATGAGTTGTCAGTCCGCCCCTGATTCACACATCCATGCAAACCGTGACATTCCACCCTCACCACAAGGGACTGGCATACAACTGCTCCCATTCCCCAGAATAAGAGCCACACACCTCACACTGTTCCCATGAAAAAACTGCATTCCATACTTCTCCTCAGTTCCACTTACAAGGACCAAAGGTCACAACCCACTTCACAGACATTTGTCAGTCAGCATCCAATAGAAATAATAGCTGGTGGTTAAGACTGATGAATAGCAGTAGTCCTCCATTTAGACTTTTGCAACCCATCACTACTTATAAACACATAGACTGGTCAATACATCAATTTCCACTAGATTAATTATCACTGGAAAAAATCCCACAATATTAAAATAATAATTTTTTTATAATTCATTCAAAATACAAGCACAGAAACACTTATTGTTTAACATCCAGAAAATGTATGCCCACTATTTAACCACTAGCCTACAGGGCACTTATACCCCCTTCCTGCCCAGGCCAATTTCCAGCTTTCAGTGCTGTCATACTTTGAATGACAATTGCGCGGTCATGCAACATTGTACCCATATGAAATTTTTATCATTTTTTTGAGACAGATAGAGCTTTCTTTTGGTGGTATTTAATCACCTCTGGGATTTTTTTTTTTTTCTTAAACAAACCAAAAACCACTGAAAATTTTGAAAAAAACAATTTTTTTTCTTAGTTTTTTTTGTTATACAATTTTGTAAATAAGTGATTTTTCTCCTTCACTGATGTGTGCTAATGAGGCTACAGTGATGGGCACTGATAGGCTGCACTGATGAACACTTATAGGTGGCACTGATGGGCACTAATGAGGAGGCACTGGTAGGTTGCACTGATGGGCATTGACAGGCATCACTGATGGGCACTGAAAGGCAGCACTGATACATGACACTGATACATGACACTGATAAGCGGCACTGATATGCAGCACTGACTGGCACTGATAGGCGGCACTGACTGGCACTGATAGGTGACACTGACTGGCACTGATAGGCAGCACTGATTGGCAGCACCTGAGGGACACAGAATTGTTACTGAGGGACACAGAATTGTTACTCAGGGACAGACACAGAATTGTTACTGAGGGACACAGAATTGTTACTGAGGGACACAGAATTGTTACTCAGGGACAGACACAGAATTGTTACTGAGGGACACAGAATTGTTACTGAGGGACACAGAATTGTTACTGAGGGACACAGAATTGTTACTCGGGGACACAGAATTGTTACTCGGGGACACAGAATTGTTACTCAGGGACAGACACAGAATTGTTACTGAGGGACACAGAATTGTTACTGAGGGACACAGAATTGTTACTCAGGGACACAGAATTGTTACTCAGGGACAGACACAGAATTGTTACTGAGGGACACAGAATTGTTACTCAGGGACAGACACAGAATTGTTACTGAGGGACACAGAATTGTTACTGAGGGACACAGAATTGTTACTAAGGGACACAGAATTGTTACTGAGGGACACAGAATATTTACTCAGGGACAGACACAGAATTGTTACTGAGGGACACAGAATTGTTACTGAGGGACACAGAATTGTTACTCAGGGACAGACACAGAATTGTTACTGAGGGACACAGAATTGTTACTGAGGGACACAGAATTGTTACTCAGGGACAGAGAATTGTTACTCAGGGACACAGAATTTTACTCAGGGACAGACACAGAATTGTTACTGAGGGAGACAGAATTGTTACTGAGGGACACAGAATTGTTACTGAGGGACACACAATTGTTACTAAGGGACACAGAATTGTTACTCGGGTACACACAATTGTTACTCGGGGACACAGAATTGTTACTTAGGGACACAGAATTGTTACTCAGGGACACAGAATTGTTACTCAGGGACAGACACAGAATTGTTACTGAGGGACACAGAATTGTTACTGAGGGACACAGAATTGTTACTGAGGGACACAGAATTGTTACTCAGGGACAGACACAGAATTGTTACTGAGGGACACAGAATTGTTGCTCAGGGACAGACACAGAATTGTTACTGAGGGACACACACAATTGTTACTGAGGGACACACAATTGTTACTCAGGGACACAGAATTGTTACTCAGGGACACAGAATTGTTACTCAGGGACACAGAATTGTTACTCAGGGAAAGACACAGAATTGTTACTGAGGGACACAGAATTGTTACTCAGGGACACAGAACTGTTACTCAGGGACACAGAATTGTTACTCAGGGACAGACACAGAATTGTTACTGAAGGACACAGAATTGTTACTGAGGGACACAGAATTGTTACTGAGGGACACAGAATTGTTACTCAGGGACACAGAATTGTTACTCAGGGACAGACACAGAATTGTTACTGAGGGACACAGAATTGTTACTCAGGGACAGACACAGAATTGTTACTGAGGGACACAGAATTGTTACTGAGGGACACAGAATTGTTACTGAGGGACACACAATTGTTACTCAGGGAAACAGAATTGTTACTCAGGGACACAGAATTGTTACTGAGGGACACACAATTGTTACTCAGGGAAACAGAATGGTTACTCAGGGACACAGAATTGTTACTCAGGGACACAGAATTGTTACTGAAGGACAGACACAGAATTGTTACTGAGGGACACAGAATTGTTACTCAGGGACACAGAATCGTTGAATTAAAGAGTATGTCAGACAACATGCAGAGGAGTGGCAGAGGAGGCAATGTTTTAGGAGCAAGCAGACGTGGCAGCAGAGGAAGGGGTCGAGGCAGCACTAATCGCAGCCAGAGGCCAGTGCTCCCGGTGTCATCCAGCGGTCGTGTCTCCACCGACAACCCTGCCATCATCGATTGGTTGGCTCGGTCGTCTTCCTCTTCCCAGGTCACCTCTGACACCTACAGCCAACGGTCGGTGGGTACGTCAGACACAACCGTTAGTTGGCATGGCCCGGGAGCAAGCCCACTGAAATCACGTGTCCTCTACCTGCCCCTGTCCTTTGGTGTTCCCTCACCAAGCGAAGTATCGCAATGTGGGGCTCAGCCCCACTGTACAGTGAGGAAGAGCTAACAGAGGGCGGTCAGGAACGGGGGAGACATCCGCCTCTTCAGCAGCCAGGTGAAGAAGTACTGGCGAGGAGAGTGGCTAGGTAGCCGGTCTAGAGACAGGTCTGTCTCCTGACCCACACGCAGCCGAGGGGGCTAGTAGTGAGGCGGAGACCCTAATTGATGATGATGAGGCTGATCGCACTTGGCAGCCTCGTCGTCATCAGGCTATTGCTTCCGCATCATCAGGAGAAGAGGGTGCCAGCTTGGCAGCGAGCAAAACAGTCGGTGGGTTGCCCAGGAGGCAGCAGGGTCGCAGCAGTGTCAGTGGAGGCAAACGGCCACGGAGTACAGCACCAGCTCCACTGCAGCCTACCACCACAGCCAGTAGTGGGTGCCGGTGTGCACGGAGGAAGTAGCAGTCAGCCAGTGAGGAGTAGCGGGGGCCAAATTTTCCTACTCGGCGGTGTGGCAATTTTTTGTCAAGCCGCCCGAAAGGAAGTAAACGTAGCCGTATGTCGACTAAGTGGTCAGAAAGTCAAGCGTTGCCAGGGGGCCCATGTTGGGACTACAGCGTTTGCGTCAGCATATGCAGCGTCGCCATTTGGTGGCCTGGGGAAAACCGTGATAAAGATACGGCGTTCTGCCTGTCTCCTCATGCTGTTGCCAGGTTCCAGAGTCTCTCATGGGTCCCTGTACGGGCTCCCCATTGCTGCTGTCTCCAATCGCCACTACTCTGCCATGGGCCACTTTCAGGTCTCCTCACACTGCTGGATGTGTTCCATTTGTGTCCTAGGGTGCTGGCAGATTACGGGCCCTTCCCATTCGCTGCTTTGCCAGGACCGTAATCTGCCCATGGGACCCCCGTACCGCCTCCCTCATTGCTGCTGCCAGTTCCAGAGTCGCTCATGGGTCCCTGTACGGCCTCCCATTGCTGCTGACTCCCTCGCCACTCTCTTGCCATGTGCCTCTTTCGGTCTCCCTCACACTTGCTGGTGTGTTTCCATTTTGTCATAGGTGTGCTGGCAGATACGGGCCTCCCATTGCTGCTGCCAGGCCCGTAATCTATCCCATGGGCCCCCGTACCGCCTTCCTCATGCTGCTGCGCAGGTCCCAGAGTCTTCTCATGGGTCCCTGTACGTCCTCCCATTGCTGGCTGTCTCCATCCGGCATCAAGTCTCGGCCATGTGCCACTTTCTAGGTCTCCTCACAAACTGCTGGTTGTTGTTCCTTTTTTCATAGGGGGGCTGGCCCGATTTTCGGGCCTCCCCTTGCTGCTGGGCCGGCCCGTAATCTGCCATGG